GGCAACGGAAAAATCCATTTTTTGACGAAAACGTCCGGTAACTCGTGACTGACAGCCTTTCAGTCGTTTGTTTGAAATTTCTATTTTAGGTCAGCGACGACGAAACTGCAACTTTTTTTTTTTTTTTTCTGGAGGGAAAAAACTGAATGACGGGGGGAAATTAATTTTGAATTCAGGCCGGCTCCATAGTAAAACCCCACACCAAAGTGCCATGATCACAACCATTACACATACTCCCCCATGGTAGCAGCTAGCCACTCTATTTCTCAAAGTAGACATCAGATTTGAACACAATTTTTTGCAGACATTATCTTTATCCCCTAAGAGATAGGAATAAATTGTTGGATTGACCAGGCGGTTTGATTTGATAGCAGCGCCAGCGAGTTCATACTGAGAGCCCTGTGGCGGGATATTTTTGAGTGGATTTGTACTCCCCACACTGTTTGGACCGTATCTATAGTTCCAGAGCTCGGATTACAATAATTTTTGGGTCCAAATCATAAGAAGACATAGGAGAATAATAATTGACTATCCATCGATTCAAAGGAGCAACAAGAGGACCAGCGCCAGAGCGACGAGCGACCAGCGCCAGTGGCAGAATATTTTTTTGATTGGATTTGCACCCCGACACTGTTCGGACCGTATCTATAGTTCCAGAGCTCTGATTACAATAATTTTTGGGTCCAAATCATCAGAAAATATAGAAGAACAAGATTCGACTATCCATCGATTCAAAGGAGCAACGAGCGGACCAGCGCCAGTGTGAATCAATTAAACAACAAAAATGCCAACCACAGGAAAAAAACAACAGCTCAAGATCCAGAGCATCATTGAAGGAAAGACCATCCTCACCAACCTTTCCTCCTTCTTGGATGAAGTCCTTGCCATTGTTGCCAGTGGAGAAAAAAGAGACTTGATGAAGCTACCTCTGAAGATCAAGTTGATGACAAAGGGAGTTGGTAAAGTGGTTGACCTCCTAGACCAAGCACTCAAATATGATGGAAATTTCAGACTGGCAAATGACCTTCTATCTGCTACAGTGGCTGAAGAAAAGAAGCAGCGAGTCATCAGTGAAAGGCTTCAGACATCTGCCAAGTTGGTGAACAAGAGGAAGTCTATGGTTGAACAGGTGCTTGAGAAATCAATCAAGAATCCAGATACCCCATCCATAGTATCACCTCCAGCAAAGAGACAAAGACGAAGGTCATCCACAAAGTCAGCTGATAGCATTGTAACCCAATTAGAGAATTATGAGAAACCCAATGTGGAAGGATCAAGATACTGTTTGAGACAATTGGTAGTGCTTACTCAGATTGACACAAAGAGTCCAGTATTCAATTATTCAGTGAAGCCTCTCATGCAGATGTTGAGTGAAGGGAAGAAATGTGTTGTCAACTATCACACTCTTCAAAGATGGATTAGGAAGTACAATGAGAAGAAGATTCTCCCACTGAAAGGAGATGAGGGCATTAAACAAGGAAGGCCAGCACTTGTGTCAATCAGGAATCTTCCAAGTCTGAACAATAGAGTATTGCAGAATTCAGGGAAAGTTGACACTCTGCAGGATCTTTCAAACGGCATTGGGAATCTTCATCAACAAGAGATGGAAGAAAAAGGATCACAGACCATTGGAAAGCCCACACCTATTTGCAGTCATACTCTTAAGAAGTACACCAGCCAATTGAGTTTCTTACCAACCAAAAATACAAGGGCCCTCGGCTAGTCGGTGATATCATCGAGTTTTGTTCCGTTGAAGGCTTTTGGTCCAACAAACCTCACCTTCATGATATGACAAGAATGAAAAGAAAATGTTGATGTGACGGTGCTACGAAGGAAAGAAACCAATAATTTTCGTTACAAATACTAATAGTTGCGAATGAAGTAATTTCCTCATCACCACCACCACTAGGRTAGATATAAAAGGAAGTGATCCACCCCTTTCCGGTGCTCCAGCTCCTACTAGATACTAGTTTTTGATTTACGCTAATTCAATCTTATAAAATTACTAGTACTAGTACTACAAATTGTACTCCTGCAAGCTTTCCATGCAGGCGTTCAAAAGAAAATAGATTGCTCTCTATTCAAGACCTCACGTTTACTACGCTATTAGGTAGTCCACTTAATAATAATAATACATTACTTGCACATCAAGTAGCAGCGATGCCATGTCACGCCTATCGTTGTCGTATTTGCCATTGCCATTGTCACATTCTCCATGTTWATTCAACATCTACGCCCTATCCGAGGAAGGTGAACGTTCGTTCRTCGTCGTCAGCTGGCTGRACTTCCACCATGTCTGCATTGAAGTCCTCGACTATGCCTGGCATGATCCCTTGATCGTAGTAGTATTCGACGAGTTGATCTGGAATCTCGTCCAAGACCGCCTCCGTCAAAGCGTTGTAGCTCTTGTAATCATTGAACTTCACAAATTTTGTTATGTCGCGTCCCTTTTCGACATCGGCATCAAAGGCATCCAAGAATTCCATGCCAGTAAAGTCTTCGTCTCCTATGCCGAGAATCACCACCGAGAGCGGCTCCTTGCTAGCGGCAATCAGATGTTTCTTTGTCTCCTGAACATCTTCTACGTTCCCCGCCGTTAAGATGAGCAGAATTGTGTATGATAAATGACCTTCTTCCCGTGCGCCCTCCTAGATCGGAACAATAGTTGTTGTACACGAAGAATCATATGTCGTCAGCTTGTTTTAGTCATGCGGAAGATTGATCTATTGATTGACATTCTCTACACCTTCCCAATCAATATTACTAACAAGAAACAATACCATCCAAAAGTGATATGCAAGAACGTACCTGTTCGTGTTGTGCATAGCCCGCTGCCGTGTGAATRACCTCCGTAAATTTGGTTGGAAAGGACATTCGYAGCGGTGTTCGGAAGACACCCCGATAAGCGTCCATGATTCCTTGGACTCCCTCTACTTCAACATCGGTTCCACACTGGAAGCAGTGCCTCACCTTGTCGCTATATTTTGCACCAAAACCCCAGACAGGAAATTTGTTGTCTGAATCGTACTTGGCGAGGATCGATCCGACCGCAAATATAGCCTTTTCGTAGTCGTTCCATTGCTTYGACCCGGCTGAATGAAAATAATGTGGTGTGCCCGGGACCCGTGGGTCACCATTTGATGCTGTAAAATCGATTGCGACCGCCAAACTTATTTGACATCCCCCTATGAGGTAATCCGTGAATTCTGGTCTCTGGGCGGGAACAGATGGAGACTCGCGAGAAGGCATYGACTGGGAAATTGACGCCGCTGCCATTTGTTGCGTGACATGAGCCGTTGGCATCGAGTGTGACATTCCAACGTCTCGTTCTCGTCCACCAATGATGTATGCCTTCATGACCTCGCAATCACCGGCAGGTTTATTGTCTTGCCGTTGTACGGGAAAGTTAATGAGTTCGTTCGAATTGGAAGATCGAGAGGCGTTTATAAGTCCCCGGACAGAGGTTTCAAATTCCCCCATGAGTTTGTGCTTGCCTGATCGTCGATGATCCCAAATAATAATTTTCATCGCACGGTTGACATCTCCATTACAAATCGCTTCTAAGTCGAGCGTTGCTTCGTTCCAYACTGGTTGTAAATCGCGTTTAACGACGTTCGATTGGTACACCTTGACCCTGTTTTTGTTGTCGTTGAATTTTGGAATTGTTTCAATTCATCATTTTTTCAATTACAAAAAAATCGAAAGAATCCATACGAACAGTTAGCACACTCACAATTGTAATACATACCACCAAGATACACCGTTKTCATCCCACCATTGTTTTGCGCCGCATAACATCGCGTTACGTATAATCGTACAGCAGTATTGATGCTTTGGGTTACTTACCATGCTGCACCGGTGGGGCGATCAACCTTTCGGAGCAATTCGAAAAAAGGACAAGACGTCATTCCCATGAGACTGCTATGGGTGTTTCTGAGCTTAAAGGCCCGCARCTGGAAGCAAAATTTTCCCTGTTCCCCGTCCTCCTTACAGCGCTCGACGTGGGCGTAGATGATCCCACCGGTTTGAAGGGACTTCGATCCGACATTGCCACGCGACCCGAGAATCTCGCCTACCTCGAACAAGGCTGTCCCCATGACGCGGTGCGGAAATTGCCCTTTGCGCAGGAGTGCCCGACTGGAGGCATCGTAGACAATGTTGAGATTAGTTTGGGCGTCGTTCATCTGGAGTTTCTTTTCTGTTGACCCGGCGGCCTTTGCATCGAAATCAAAGACGCCGACTTCGATATAGAATGGGCGTCCAAATTTGTAGCCATCTAGAAACACAATAGTCGACCATTCCGGATTCAGATTGTTGAAGACCCTGCATAGAAACATTATACAACGCATATCAATTGTGCGTGTTACGGGGGAAGTGGAGGTGAATGTTTAGCCACCAACAAAAAGGTTTTGATGAGACTCTGGACTCCTGGCATAAACCCATTCGTTCTTCTTCTCTCAATGAAGTAACACAAAATAAGMAACACAACATATACCRCATCGCATCAAAACCAAGCACATTTGCATTYGCATCTATTTGCAAAGACCTCGTCCCGATGACGACGGCTGTTGTTGACGACTTACACCTCCGTTCGCCCGATAATTTCGGGTGCGTTGTCCTTGTTGTCACCCCGGCTTGTCACCACAGCAAACGGGTCGGACACTCCCATAAAACCCGATAAATTCTTCAGATTTTTGCCGCTCAGCGATAGCTGCAACCGAGTCGTCGCCATGATGGRTGGTTATGRCTATCACTATTGATGTTCTTCTTTGTTTTCGGCGAGCCCGATTGTCAAGCTTGCGTTCAGAATAATCAGGATTATTGCGCTGCAAGAATAATTTCTGYCACAGATAGTATTCTTGCGAWAGAGAATAAACAGAGTTGTAATRTCGCGATTAAGTCGGAAGAAGTGCCGACCGAAAGCAGATTGAATGTGTTGTCTTGTAGGTTCGTTCGCTCCAACTCAGCTCGATCTTATTCAATCTAATTGTAGTTGCATCTGCCAGTCGAATGAGTTTGTTCACTGACTTTGGCTTGATTAATATTACGACGTCTTCTTCTGATCAGCCATACAATAAGAAGCGAGTCAATGGTTTGCTACGGTGATGGCTTGCYCGTATTGTGACAGTGGTTTTAYTTCTCGTTGAACAAAAACTAGTTTAAAAATGTCGTCGATGCGGATCGAACTGTTGCTGGGAAACCGGAATCAGCTGGACGAACTTGTGCTGAGCAAAATTCATGCGAACCGAGAAGAAACCCTCCTCGCAAATCAGCTTCACGGATGGAAGGATCTCGTGTTTCGTCAAGTCTCAAGAACTCGAGGCATAATACTTTTATCAAYAMCGGTGTGAGTACTCAAGTTGTAAGCGTAGAGTCTACACACGCTGTAGTCGTGACAGTGGCCTCATCTGTTGTTGGTCTTAGAGATGACGTCTTGCCGTAAAAGCCACAATCGCGGATGACTTAGCTGCTACTTGTATGAATACATACAGCACTCGTACGTACTGTGCAATCATACGTATACCCTGCCGTACCTCAACAGCACAGGTAACAACGTACGACTATTCTATCGTCCTGTACAACGTACCGTTACGTACCAGTACCAGTAAAAGTTTTGATGACCAATGAGACTGCTCTTGCAATCGAGTCAGTCCATTTTGATTTTCTGTCTTGTGCTTAGCCGGAGAATAATGTTGTTGGTTAAATTCCCTCCATTGAAATTGATTTTGCTACAAAAAATATCTCCATGTCACACTCACATCCTTCTTCTCGTACCGGTAGGTATCATCACCGAGAACAAAAATCATGATCGTCGTCTCATGCGTAACAGATCCAATATCAGAACTACAAGTCTTCTCACAGTGAGACCTCCCACAGCATTGGTTGAAAATTTTACCAACAAAGATGCCATGATATCTAGAGGGYACCATCGGAGATGACACAACGACTTCAGAAATTACCTCGAGCTGCTTGGTGGTTTGGAATACAGCGTGCTGACGACAGAGTGTAGAAAGTGCGGACTGCACGAATAGATTGGATCGGATTCTCGATTCGATTGGATTTGATTCTGCTTATTGACTTTACTTTGTCAAAAGTCATTCGAAGGATTTTCCGYACTTMTAGGGGAACAAGGGCTACAGCATGCCACGAAGGAATCAGCAGAAGAAGAGAAACAAGCGCCACAGGAAAGGGAGCTACGATGGAAGAGGTTCGCAACATGTGGCGGAAAACCACAACARGAATGAAGCGAYGTCTCTCGAAGAAGATCTTCGACAGCAAAGGATACGACAGCAAGAACGGCAGAAAGTGAGAGAAAGGGAAGAAGAAGAAAGGAAGGAAAAACAACAACAAGGGCTAGTACTGGGCGAAGATGATATTTGCAACGACGACATTGGTTTCCAGCAGCCACAAAAGTCCAGTGCCATGAAGAAAGCAAAGCATTTGATTATGAAAGGATCACTGCTGCCAGCATCGATTGCTTCGCTGCAACAAAACGGAAGCCACGGGAGCAATTGCAGTCACAAATCCTCGATGTCGTCGTCGTCGTTTCCATCCTCCGTGATTACATTGCCTCCTTCCTTCTTATTGCGCCATATCGAACAAAGCAGCCCAATCCTGACAATTTACAAACGGAATACATTGCGAAAGATTTGGTCGACACAGCATCACCTAGAAAGTACGACCATCCGGTCGAGAGCGGCCTCACTCTATTGCAAAACCAAATGGCCCCAATACATGCTCGAATACAGCTCGAATCTGAAGTGTTCCTGGGATCTTTCCTGCAAACACCGACTCCATCCTTCGGCACGAACCTTTGACGTAGCTGTGCTTGATCCCTGTTCTGAACCATCGCCATCGCCCACGATAGCCACAATTTTTCAGGACGGCTGGGGATTGCTCCGCCAACAATCRCAACACAAGATCAACACGATCAAGGCACCATCCGTGTACGCCATAAGAATGCACGAATCATCCAAAACGTGTGGTATGATCGTCCGACCGGCMAGCGACACCAACGATTCTTTTATGTCTCCATACTCCTTTCGGTGGTATCCACTTCCCCATGCCACATCATACGTCGAGGCCAACCTTCCACGTCCCGTGACAGATTTTTGCTTTGGAAACGAGATCGCTCTTTTTTCGTGCCCACGGCATTCGACGCTCTCTAGCGAAAGYCTGAATCCTCTCTTTTTGCCGCTGGTAGAAGYGGATGGTATGAGAAACACCACTTATTACGACAGTCCCGTGAGRACTCTCAACGTACGAAATTTCCCACAGAGTGATGCGTTACGAATCGAAATGATGTGCAAGGAGCAAGAGAAAATCTTGGGATTTGGCCATCGGAACGGRCARGTGTCGATCATTGATTTRCGAGCCACKGGAACCCTCTGTTCAATCCTTCAGTGCGAACTCAAAAATGTCGGACACCCCCTCGGATCCGTCTCCGACTTTGGATTTCTTTCATCTGGGCAACAGCACCAGGTCTTGGTCAAACGATCCTTTGGAAGCTGTCAGCTCCACGACATGCGAAAATCAATGTCGTCACCGTCTCCCTCGCCATRCGAAGCTAGCTACCAYACMTCCACAACAGTTGTAAGGAACATGACGGTGCCGCAAGACGAAATCAATCCCATTGCGTCGGCGAACTGCAACGGATTCTTCATCGATCCAAACTCTCGCCAAACGATGATGTCACCCTACATCGCCAGTTCYTCCGGTGATGCTCGCTTGGGAGTATGGTCGTTGGGGACGGGTCGGATGGTCGGGTCTCGACTCCTGCAGAAAGCCAACAAGGAGTATGGCGCCGAACAACATAGCTCTCTTCACGTGGAGGTTTGTTCGAAGATCACACCCCTGGTTCTTTCGAACCAGGAACGCAAGGCCAACGATGATTTTTCCTYTTCGGCCTTTGGGGTTTGGATGAAATGTGGGGCCTTCACGAGCCAAAAGCTTCCTTCTAAAGTAGGGAGCCTCCATCAGCTCTCTATTCCTGGGTTATGGGAACACGAGTGACGAGATGACGAAGAAACGGAGWARCGTCCGTAMCAGTTACAAGAATCAACTCAAATRCCCTACRAAYCTTTCGTTAAAGCAAATCCGACTTATARTTTGTTTCCTGAAATCATCCATATYGTAGAGTACTGCTATRTGTGCTACTTCCTATTTCAGTTCGATAGGCTTTCAAATAGAGGTAGCTTTGATGAACTCTATTCTARTTAGTCAGAGTAATCTGTATCTACACAACAGCAACCCAGCTTGGAGTGACTAAATTATYACGCACATCAAACCCGTTCCAGTACGACCGCAATTCCTTGCCCTCCACCAATGCACGCCGCGCCAACGTGGATGTTGCTATCTTGGTTGTAGGCAAACTCGTGGGCCAAGTGAGCGGTAATCCGCGATCCGCTCGCTCCCAGCGGATGACCAATGGCGATCGCGCTCCCGTGGATGTTGGTTTTGTCCATATCGAGGTTCAGCTCCTTGGCGCACGCCAAAAATTGTGCCGCAAACGCCTCGTTGATYTCGATCCGGTCCACGTCCTTCTCTAGCGACAAATCCCCGGCCCTTTTCAGGGCCTCCTTGATGGCTGGTACCGGACCGATTCCCATCACCGTCGGGTCGCACCCAACGACRCCATAGCTGACCAATCGGCAAAGCGGGGTGAGGTTGTGCTCCGCAACGGCTTGCTCGGACGCCACAATTATGCTTCCCGCTCCGTCGTTGATGCCRCTGGCATTGGCCGCCGTCACCACCCCGTGCTTCCGATCAAARACGGCCGGCAGCTTTGCCAGGCTTTCGAGGGTGGCATCCGGGCGAGGATGCTCGTCCGTGTCCATAAGTCGGGTCGTTCCTCTCTTTTTTCCGGGTACTTCGACGGGGGCGATTTCGGCCTGGAAGAGACCCTTTTCGTTCGCTGCCGCCCAGCCCTGTTGGCTTCTGACCGCATGGGCATCGCATTCCTAAAAAATACCGTGGTTGGACAGACGAGGGGAGGGGGATTAACGCGAACAAAACAATTGAGAAAACACTGCGAAGGATTTTTGACTGATGGAGAATCGGGAGGCAGCATGGTSGAACCAAACATAGCGGATCATCATTGTGCCCTTGTTTTYTTCACCATATTCGAACTAYRTTATTTATTCCATACAGCATTTAACCGTTTCAGTCTGCACGGCAYTTGAACACATTGTGCTCCGCAGGACACAGCTGTGGTGCGAGCATGATTTTCTGTACTCATCGTACGTTCCAGCACATTTTACTACCTACCTCTCGCGTAATGTTGTATTGCTTGGCAAG